GCTATAGTATCCTGTTGCCAGGATTTAACAATTGAAATTATCTCCGCCGTTCCGAGCATGCAAATATGGCAGGCCCCGATCACGATAGCTTACGCTGCGGCATAATGCATTGGCATGTGCAGAAAGGAGGAACATAGAAGAAGTACGAAGATGCAAACATGGATGGACGATTCACTTAGCAACGGATAAGTTATCGGAGAAGGAGACGGTTGCGGTGCAACATTTACGAGATTCAGTGCAAGCGGAGAATCAGACGGTCTGGACATCCACGTACAACGGGCCAACAAAAGAAGAACTAACACTAACCGGGCATGATTTGAGCTTGATACTATATCAAGGCAATTGGTTAAACAACGAAATAGTTAACTTTTATTTGAACCTCGTAAGGCTTCACAACATGTGTCGCATAAGCCATGGCGAGTGTGATAGTGGACAAGACGGAACAGTAGTAGAAGGAAAATGGCGCATCCCGATAACAATAATTTTTAGTTCCTTCTTCTTCGCGAAATTGTTCGACGACGACATGCAATACCAATACAGCGTAGTGCAGAAGTGGATGACAAATATCGATGTGGGTGACGTGGACTTAATAATAACTCCATTCCATGTCCGGAATTTCAACCATTGGACACTAGTAATAGCTGACCTAAGGTGCCAAAAAATGGAGTACTACGACTCGCTTACGCCTGACAAAGAATTGGCAAGGAAAGTGACAGGTGGTTTCGCAAGATTCTTGTTCAAAAGATCGGTTGAACAGGGAAAGGCGGTGGATACAAAAGATTTCAACCACATATGGAATGTGCGAGGCATTCTAAGACAGGGCGGCATTAACGAATGCGGTGTCTTTATGCAAACATATCCGTCATTGTTGGCAAGAGGATTTCTCCCGCCATTCAACTTCTCTTTCGACGACATCCACAATATAAGGGGACGGATCGCTTTAGATGTACTTGTCATACCGAAATAGGAGTTACTTGTGCAACAAATGACATTTGATAGACGACATTATGAAAGCAAAACATTTGTTTATTTTTTTGCAAATGTAAAGAGATCATTGGCTCTGCTGGATAGACACGCATGAAAATGTCCGAATGTATTTAACAAAGCAACAACGCGACCTGCCCGATTGAATACCATTCATGTGTTACTTCATATGACCTCGTACCCCTTACCCCTTACCCCTTACCCCTTACCCATATTACCCCTTACCCCTTACCCCTTACCCATATTACCCCTTACCCCTTACCCCTTACCCCTTAGCCCTTACCCCTTTACCCCCTATACCCATAAAACACTGCATAAAATACATACACAAATCGAAAAAAATGGACTTTCAATTTCGCGCAAAAAATAAAAAATGAACGTTTTGACAAAATCGCAATTCTTGACAAGTGCGAGAACGTGTCGTGCCTACCGTCGTACTAGGACACAGGCCTGGAAAAACGGAAGGAGCTGCAGGTGCCTCTCGCCTTCGAGAAACCGCTGTGGGATGCCATGCAATGGAAACTGAACAGACCATCCATGATATGCGACCAGACATTGGGCTATGAGGACCTGCCGGGAGCGGGAGAAGGACCGCCGCCTTCGGGAAGAAGTGGATCCGGAAAAAGCGGGTTTGAGGCGAGAGGAACAGACGGCTCGGAGGGCGCAGCGAAGATGTGAAGAACGTCGTCAGGGAAAACAAGGATGAACGACGTTGGGACCGGCGGATCGACTTTGGCGAGGGCAATGGAGGAGTCGACACGATCCTACTGCGATGGTCTTGACAAGGCCGCTTCTACATTGCGAAGGCAACCTCGGATGTCGGGACTGTGATGGCGGCGAAGACTGGTGATGTGGCGGAGGCGATAAGAGGAGGGAACACTGTCCTCGAGATGCTCGTAGGGGTTCTCGCCCATCGCTATGTGGGGTCTGCCGGTGGTGACATGAACCCGTCGTCTATGTGATATATCTATCTATATATATCTATATATAAATAGATAGATAGATAGATAGATAGATAGATAGATAGATAGATAGATAGATAGATAGATAGATAGATAGATATAGCAGCGACATGGTGGATCGGTACCGGGCAGAACCGCATGGGGACACAGACTAACACAAACAGGCATATTTGTGTTCCTGTGTCTGCGTGTGGGCCCATGCGGTTCCGGCGGGTACTGATTCGCAGTGTCACCGTCACAGGATCATGTAGGAACCGGTGGGACTGGCAGCGGGTCGGGGGAGGTCGTCAGTATCCCGTCCACTTCTTCTTGGCAGATGACAGAGCTCCCAACAGGGAAGCGTTGCGGAGGAGCCTTTATGCCGTGTTTGCGGTGGAGAGTTGTGGGGGAAAAGTTTTCGCCAGCTTGTGTGTGTGTGTGTGTGTGTGTGTGTGTTTGCGTGAGAGAGAGAGAGAGAGAGAGAGAGAGAGAGAGAGAGAGAGAGAGAGAGAGAGAGAGAGAGAGAGAGAGAGAGAGATGACGGACGTCGTCAGCGTGGTGGAGGAGGTAGTCGACGGCAAGCTGGTCGTCATCCAGGAGGCAAGGTTCGAGCGGGGGACCGAGCGCCATCGCCGCATGGAATTGACTCGCAAGAGAAACTGTCAAAAATTGCATTTTCAACAGTGATGTGGTGAGGCCCTTTATCTTTCCCGCCCCCGAAAAGAAGAAGAACAAGTACAAGAAGGAAAAACGAAATAAAAAGTGCCAGTGTTCGAATCTAGACGAGAAGAGGCAAACAGAACAAAAAAGAAAGGAAAAGCAGCGCACTGGGGGCATCACCACTCTCGAAATTTGCAAAATGAGAATAAACTTCCCGCTAGAACATGGCTAGATGCACCCTACACACTTTTGTCTTTTTCACATTTCCAGAGTGGTGCAGCGAGGCCCCGAAACTCATGTGTGCTAGCAAAGGTGGTTGCTCGGTGGCCGGCAGTGTTTGCTTCATTGCCCGCGTGCATCGCAGGAGTCTGCTTTGTTGCCCGGTGGCCGGCAGTGTTTGCTTCATTGCCCGCCTGCATCGCAGGAGTCTGCTTTATGGACGGTGCTCCGCCAGAAGTTGCGGTAAACCATTCTCTGCGCTTGGCTTTTTTTTTTTTTTTTTTTTTTTTTTTTTTTTTTTTTTTTTTTTTTTTTTTTTTTTTTTTTTTTGGAAAGCATGAACTTTTATTATAATAACAACAGGACGAGGCAGGGGACCTCACAATTCTACCCGGAGTTATCCTGGCAGCCTCAGCCAGTTCAGCTTACGAATTTTGCTCAAGTATAAGTCCTCTGCGCAAAATAACCCCCAACTATTGCTGGAAATCAGGTCCAGCGTCCTGCCCTACGAAGATTACTTCCCAAAAAAGTATCCACTTGAAGCCCAGTAAAAATTCCCAATTCCTCAGCATGGACCATCATGGTCAGTACCTTGCTCTTACAACTCATCTGTAGGGACCAAGCTTCCTCCCTGGCCAACCCGACTCAAGCCCCTTGTGGTGAGAACAGGGCCTACTTGTTAAAGCTCAAGGGTATCCTGGGAWCTTCGGGCCCGTYGGCACCGAACTTGTCATACTTAACTTGATCCTTGTCCATGTCCTCCCTTCCTAGAAACCTCCACACTACTCCGCCTATCCTACAGAGTTGCTTCCTCTAACACCTGACTATCCAACCAGACGAACCTAAAACGGTTCTATTCTTGCTCTATTGTTCCTTGTAACAGCCAAGGAGTAAGAATGAGTTTCCCTTCCCCTGAAACAGATGCTAACCTGCCGTCCTTCGCCCACGTGTTACGAAACCAGGCCAAACCTCGTTTTCTTTTTGAGCAACCCTTTCTATATTTCATATAAGATCGAGGCCGGGGACCTCACAATTCAACCCGGAGTTATCCCGGCAGCATCAGCCGGTTTAGCTTTTGTGTCCCAGTACTCATCTGTACCTCAAATAAACTTACCACGTACGACTAATCCTGTTTTAGCCCTAAGTCATGATCCAACCTATGCAGCCTTTGTCTAAATTACGAGCCTTAAGGTAATAATGCTACCCGAATAGACTAAAGACAGCCACCCAGACATGAGCCAACCTTAGGACAACGAGTCAACTATACTTCCTCCCTAAATGTGTAACACACATTAAGCTATCAACACTAATTTGGGACTGTGGCCTAAAAGCGGCCTGAAATATGACGGAAGGCACAGCGGAGCCTAGTACCACGGCTCCTATAAG